CGTAAACAGGGTCTTTGGTTGCGTGCGTGTCCAGCACTTTGCTTTTCCTCCTGTAGGCCTGTTTATCGCAGCTGACTACCCATTTTAATCAGTACACGTCCTTTTAGATGCTATAGCGCAACCTGTGTTCCTTATTAATGAACAAGAATTTGTTAATGAGCACAGCTTGGCGTTGGCATGTGTCAGAAACATAGTTGTATTAGACAAGACAAGCTCGTCAAAATAAGTGCTCCAAGCAGCAGTGACTAACCATTTTCATTCCTGGCATCGGTATGTGCGTGACCGACACGTAAAACGGATGCCTTCTTCTGACACGTCACTTAGTTTAGCTTTTCTTTATTACACATATTTTCACATGTATTACGGAACGCAGCCGATACATCAGCTCCCGCACTACTGTGGTCGGGCATATTTTAATAAATTCATCCAGACACTATTTGCGAAAGCACCCAGGAACAGAGAAGAGCTACAAGTATGAGCACTGGCGCTTACGCATTTTACGAGCGTGTAGCACTTCGAGTACTAAAACTGCGCTTAATCACTTTTCGAAATACTAAACTTAGTAAAGCATCTCCGCAAAGTTTAATTTCATGGAGTTGTAGTTTTGCATAGATATATTCTGGTACAGTGCGGTCTACTTTTTAAGACAACAAACCGTTTCTTTTTGTCATTGATTATTGCGTATAGGTGTGGTGCGAAAACTCGAAGATAAACCCTGATGCATGCGTGTAAAGGTACAAGCATATGTCCAAATGAATGTGTTAAAGACGGCCTTCGGACACATGTGTGAAGACTGTTTAATTAAGTTGCCTTAATTAGCGTCTTGATGTTCTCTGCAAAATTTGATCAGGCTATCCAAGCGTTCATATGTGAACGTATAGTACGTGTTACTAATATCAATACATTGGCTTGGCTAAAAATACTTCGTGATAACTACCTCGATGATCGCGTCTGCAGCACTTACCATTTAGCTTTTCCCATTTTTGTTTGTTCGTTCGTTTGTTTGTTTGTTTGTTTGTTTGTTGTTAGCTCAATTGCTTGCTTGTTTCCTCGCTCAATGGCTACTTGCTAGCTTGCTGTTTTTCTTGCTTGCTTCCTTTTTGATATATTAGGCAAATGTTTGGTGCTATTTCACAGGTGTTGACAAGTATTGCCCTGAAAAAAAATGTCGGAATACTGACAAAGCTGTGACAAATATAAGAAAGCGCCAGACAATATACAACCATAATTATAGAAACGCAATACGGAACAGTGAAATAATACTCTTCACCTTAGGAGCAAACAAAAAAATAGGTACGAACAAATTGACGTAATTTGAGTACGAAAAACATTTACTGGTTTGTTATGCAATCATCATGAAGTACGATCAAGTACATGCGTTCCCGGAGAGGGCTAATGCTTGTTTCGACAATGAGAAATAACTGTTACCTGAAGCTCTTTTCAAAGAGGGCAAGAAACACGCATTGCTAGTCATGTCCACACTTGTGCCCAGGTGATTAACAGATTGCTAAGACATTACCTGGTTCAGCGAGAGCGTATTCTTTGTACTGACCTCCATTTGAGATTTAAATGGGCCTCGACCGTGTTCACAGGTGACCTGAATGCCGTTTTGGTCAAAACTTGCTGGACGTCCTCAAGGAAGGAAAATAGGAGGAAAAGAACGGCAGGGAGGTTAACCAGTCTATAGGCTGCTTGTTTGCTACCCTGTGCATGGGAGGAGGATGTGGGAGATGAAAGATAGAGAGGAAAGAGAGGTAAATGCAGCAAAGTGCATGGTGAAGGAAAGGGGGTTTAGCTAAGGCAGCGTGAACGAAAGCTGCCTATGTATGCTCCTTTCTAAGCGAATGCAAAGCTCGTGGTACATTTTTAAAACGATGGGTATTGTGAACAAAACGCAAACACTGGGAGGAGTGCTTCAGCGTATGGCTCTTCACTTTCGACCAAACTCGAACGTCACAACGGCGTGGTCATCTTGTGTTTGCCCTACCAAGGAGAACGTACGTCACAAGGGTGAAAAAATTCGATTGGTAAGGTGACTTGAAGGTGAGGTAGTTAAGTAGCTACAACTGTAAATGGAGTTGCAGGCATTGCGTGAATTCCTAAAGCACACACATATAACTTAAAAAATAAGGCACAATAACATGAAAATGTACAGGAAATGAATCTATTCGTTTGTAATTTAGAAAACAAGGTTTACGATTGCACGAAGTGTATAGAAGGCATATCGAAGTGCCAACACATGCGGGAACCAAAATAAGAACATTGCATTATGAAGAATGTCAGGGCGAATGAATCAAACATGAATATATAATGTGGGCGCTATAGAAACAAATTTAATTAAAAAGCGTGAGACATGTGTTTGCGGCAAGCATGGACAAAGTGAACAAACTGCGGTCTGTGGGGCACTGTGACGTAGGTAGAGTTACCCGAATCGCCCGTGGTGCAGAGGGATATGTATTCGCAGGTAGTGGTAACAAGAATAAAGTTAACTAAGTACATAATACTGACGAACATGGGGCACCGTTTAGGTTCACGAAAACCTTAGACACCAATCATTGGATCAACTATATGCAGCTAAAGGGTGTAAATTAGAACAATAGCGTGGGGCGGGGGAGGGCCAAGCCTCACTTTGAGATATTTGAGTCTTGCGTGTGCACATATGCAGACGTAGATAATACAAACACACATGAACATACATAAGCAATAGCTGACCCCCACCCCCTCTTTCATCATCATTAGTAAAGAGACTTCTGCTATACCCGTGAAATAGAACACGTGGAGTGGGGTATTACACGTCAAAACCATGACTTGATTTGGGAAACGTATACAAGAGTAAAGAGCAAAAAAACAAAACAAAAAAGAAACAAATATCAGTGTTTTAAGAACGTGCTGATACCGTTTATAAAGCTAGGAATATTGAAATATTAATGCATTTTCTACCACTCTAAATCGTATGACTAGTTAAATTGACGAGTAGAACTTAAGCGAAATGAAACCATTGGCCCATTTTTGTTAAGCAGAAAGTGGGACTCTCGAAAATTAAAAAGGTGCTATAATTTCACGTAAACAATAAATTACTTTTCTTTGTGAGATTATTTCTGGGTTCGAAAGATGGAGTTTACACAGCTGCAGTACCTCTTTTTTTTTTTTGTCGTTACATACATGCTCGTAAACGTTACGCTTCAGCCTTTTCGTCAGCTTTTTTGGCACTAAATTTGAGGTCAAAAATCAAAATGATTTCGCCTAAAGTGTCTTCAACATACATTTTCCCAAAAAACACTGCCCATGTCACTCAAAAAAGGTGAGGCTGTGTAAACGTGAAATCACTGGCGTAGAAGCATTAAAATAAAAAAAGTTACAAGCTCACTTTCATACTCGGCCAATTTGATGCCATGGTTGCTGGACAAAAACTGAAATTGATGTGACGCCAGGGATGAAAAATCCTTCTGGGCCTTTTACTAGGCCATTGATATGACAATAAAAATTTGAGGAACTACTTTCATTATGGCACGTTCTTGTTAAATATCTCGCAACCAACGATGGCGTGCTTACGACTTCGCTACTCCTAAAAAACACATTGAAGAGTCTCGGTTGGCATCATAACGTATTTTGACCTCGTTCACGAGCTTCTCGCTTGGACCTATCTGTGTTTTCTTTAAAGTACGCCCACTGCGCCTCATTCTTTCGCCCGCACAACTGGCACAACAAAAACTCATATGCGCAGTTGATGCCGGTGTACCGACGTGATCAGAGTCGCGTAGCCGGCTGGCTTCGGCGAACAAGCCGTGCCATCTCCACGGCTTGTTCGCGCCCTCGCCAATGGGGAGAGCGGTGCTGTGCCTCCTCCTTCTTTATCGCCTCTCGTTCGTATGACAGAAAGCGGTACACTAGCGTCACCTTGTGCCGCAAAAGGACTTTTGTTATATTTCCATCATAAGAGGGAACGTACAATGGTTTTCACTTACCGCTTTATTCGGGGGGGAAATAATAAATCAACAAACAAATAAAAGTGAGCAGTTTGCAAGCAGGCTCGAACTTCTCTTGCTCTGAGCAACTAGTGCGCTGTGCAAGGAGTGGAGTCTGATGCTCGGCATTCTACTACTGCAAATTTATTGCCTAGCCACTTCCAATTTTGACACAAAGTGTCCTATACCACAGAATGCGTTCGAACCCATAAATAGTCTTCACAATTACCCTTGAATACACGAAACGTGTGTCGGAGCTCTGTCTTACCAGTGAATTAAAGTAACAGCATATCCATAGACTGAATACTGATGAGTGGGGCGAAGCGTCCATCAGTTCGATCATTCTTGCTTCCGTCCGTCCATACAGGTGGCCGTTTATCTGTGCGTCTGTCCATGCGTTCGTCCGTTCATCCGTGCGGCTGTCCGTGTGTCCGTGCCTGCGTTCGCCCAGGCATCCGTCCATGATTCCGGGCGTCTGTTCATGCACTCGTCCATCCATCCGTGCGTCCGTCCATGCATCCATCCGTACGTTCATCCGTCCATGCATGCCTTAATCTATTCATCAGTGCGTCCGTCCGTCTATCCGTCCGTTCGTGCATCTGTCTATCTGTCCGTCCGTTTATCTAGTGAACATTTCAAGCATCGCCATCTCCCATCTTTTCATCATATATTCATCATATAGAAGAAGTACCGCCATCCAGCTGACATTCCAAGGACTAAACGAGAGGTGGCTGCCTACTATTACGATGACGACGACGACTACTACTACTACTACTACATACATCGTGGACGTGCGACCCATGGCATAAGGAGCTTCGCCCTTAAAACGCCGCACCAGGCTTCTCTCATATTTGAGATACAATGTACTGCTGCTCCGTTACCTGATCGCTCTCTCAGCTATGACCCGTCCGTAGACGCGAAGCCTTCGCGCGTTTCGCAGCCGAGTTCTCGCGTGTGTAAGCGGGCTTCCCTTACTCATTCGGCAGGACGCCTGGCGGCGGAGCTTGCAACCAATTTTTACGTCACTGGGGGTGCCCAAGGACGGCCGAGTTTCAAAGCAGGCGGCGGCACGGCTGGACGCAGACGATAAACACGCCGCGCGCATGAGACTTCGGGAGCCCGAAGAGCAGTCGAGATGCAAGGTGCGTGTGTTTCAATTTTTAGTAACTGAGATACTCGTCCATCACCAACCCATTACGTGAGATGCCCTGATAAAAAAATTTAATGAGAGAACAGCTATCCTGGTATTTGAATTGCCGTAGAGAAATCAACATAGGTAAAGATGAGTGAATGGTATAGATGCTAATCTAAATTGAAATATCACGTTAGCTATCCTACTCTACAAGGAGGGGAAGGGAAAATATTCGAAACGGTGGATAGGCATGTTATTAACAGGCTTAGGTTAACAAAGTGACACAAGCTTTATAATTCAGCTGATGGTCTTTAGCGGTGGACACCATTTGTGTTTTTTTTTCTGAATTACTTGGAGACTGAATAGTCGGGATGTTAAAAATAGCCGCTTTCTTGGAAAGCATAACTTGCAATAGCGGAGATTTGTTCATGTATTGAAATCTCAAATGTTAATGTATTGAACGATATTGCAATGGTTTCGTGACCATATCTAGAATTGGCAATGGCGAAAGTTCAATTTTGCAATATAGTATTCTCTGAAGTGTTAGCGTACCGGTCAAGCATAACTCATACTTCAGTCTGTTTTTGCACATAGAGGGAAGTGTTATACTGCCTCTATATCTCTCATTCTCAATGTTGCTGGGCATGTTTGTTTTAGCAGCACCGGTATCTCATTTGGGAAACCACTCTGCATTTCTAACTCGCCGGTAATGCGTCGAAATGCGTGTCGTACCAGTGCAACATTCAGCATATATTTTGAGCTATTGTACGTTGGCACAAATACTTGAAACGTTGCTTAGCGCCAATGAGAATCTTTCCCACGCTTCTCTTACCACTTGTATAATACTACCCTTTTCTCTCAAAATTTGTTACATGAAAAGTAAAACGGTGGGTGAATAAAAATAAGCCACGAGGAATGTTCACTTCGCGCTATGCCATACGCTCGAGCGCACATGGCGAAGCGCGAGGCCGTGAATTTAATCAGTTTGTTTACAAAAGTGGAGTGTCGCCAGCCGGCGGATGGTCGAGGACGATGGAAGAGAGTGAGAGAGCCATCTCGGAAGTTCTCCACCGTCCCTCGTATCAGCTAGGCTCGTGGGCGCGATAGCAACGCGCCGACAGGGTACCGCGACGTTCGGAGGAGAACGACCACAGTGAAAAATTAGAACGCGTTCATCCTGCCGATTTAGGTTTAAAAGCTGAATGAATTTAAATGCGTTAGGAAGGCTGTTGCAATATCTTTTCATTACAGGCTCTGTTTGAAACTCAATGCAGCTGTACCGTAGAAGCTATTTTGCGCAACAACAAAGGACAATAAGATTTGTTTTTGTTGATACTATAAACAATGCTTACATGAAGACCGCAAAGGGAGTTGTTTTGAAGCCTCTCACTTAAAATACAACATCGGTAGTCTTGTTTTTGTTTTCTTTATTTCGTGGTGTCAGGCTACTGCAGAGTTGCGTGACAGCGCTTAATGTATTGCAGTGTATACAGCAAATGAGGTGATATTTTCACCGAATGTCTTTTACAGTAGCGCTTACAGGGTGAACACTATTTTATCTTTGCCGATTCAACAGCAAATGCATGTTTCACGAGAAAACTTGACAGCTTACACCAGAACCTTAAAAAACCTCGTTGTGTACCTTTGAACATCTCACCGGATACTGATCACGGCCAGTAAGTCATGACTGTTACTTTATTGCAGGCCACTCTCCGGCATTTCGTGTTGATCTAGTCAGTGTAACCTTAATCTTCGTCGTCATATCGCAAGACAATGTTGATTAAGAATTAGCGAGGATCCTGACATAAATGCAGGGTTGTATGTTTTGGGCGCAGAGCGAGTTTTTTCATTTATTTAAGTGTGCTCAGCACATCTCCAGCCTTTCTTTCGATAAATGCTTAAAAATGACGACCATAAAGCATTGTCGATCAGCATAACGAAAAGCTATAGTTGTGCTGTAAACTAGGCATCAACATTTTCGAACGTCTAAGCAGTGCAAATATACCTAGTGTCACTTAAATGACTTTCAGACATCTCCTCCTTCTTTTCATGCTCACCAGCCACGAAAGTATGCACATGATACAAAAAAGTTCATGGCAGATAAGCTCACTTGAGGTGCACAAGTGTTACAAATAAAACCACAAGTGACACTGACAACACTCCTCATCTAAGCAAAACGCAAATATAGAGTACAGTGACGAAATATTTCACTAAGAACACTAAAGATATCCCATGTTATCTGTCTGGCTTATACTGCCACTCCTTTTTATGCACCTTTCGTCCTGTTGGTGTCAAGCAGCTTTTTTCACACCCAGTAAACGGTAAAGGAGTAGGAAGCGCAAGTGAGTTGTAAATACAAATACCAGTTACTGTGCATTGCACTTGAAATACATTCTAACTCCCTATGGAGGCTTTTGTATGCGGATGGAATTGCTATAAATAGATCTATTTTGCAATGTCTTTCAGGTAGATAAAAAGTAAGCGCGGCACCGTATGGCTTCTGTCACCGGGGGTCGAAGCAGGTCGCTGACCTAAACGTGAACGGTCTGCGTTTGTACACACTCAGTGCCAAGAACAACACTCTGAACTGGCACTGCGGTTTATCGCGCTGCCCATTTATTTATATTTGCTTTTGTCGTTATGCATCGAAGCCTTTGTTGACAAAAAATAGGTCCTACTCCTTATCTTGACAATCGAGTTGGTTGAGCAGGTTCAACGTACTCTGCCGACGCAAGGCAAATATGCGTTTTGGATATTTATGCTAACCACCTTGCAATACTTGTGCTTGCAGTTATAGCGATGCCTGAGGGTTTTTCGAATACCATTGAGAGAGGAAGATTAGCTGACCTCTTACAGGGCCCTTGAAAAGCATAAAAACTCATATAAAATTATTATTGTGGTCTATGTTATTTGAGAGTTCACTGACTGCGATACTTTTTTTCATATTCCTACGAGAATAAATACTGCAGGTGTTTGTATCAATATTTTAAAATGAAGCATGCCAGTGACTACGAATAGTGATAGCGCTATCGAAGAAACGAGAAGAACTTGTGAAGAAGAAACGGCATGAAGGTTAACTAGCTTAGGGCAACCGGTTTGCTAGCCTACACACGGGAACAGGGTGGAGAGAGAGAGAGAGACACCACATAACACAGCACACACACAGTCAATCACAGTGCGTCACTCCTACATGGTACAAGACGTCACTGTCACAGCCGCTTGAACAAGGCCATTTCTATTGAAAACTGAAGTAGTCGGAGATAGTGTTACCAACTAGAATGACATTCTTGGCAAATAACAACTGCGACTGGTTCTCTACAGAGAACAGCTTCGACATCCCTCCCGCCTCTGTGCAGCATTAGTGCCCTCTCCCGATCGCGTACTTCTTTATGTAACCGATAACGTTCTTTCATGCAGCTTGCCGAAGGCTTCTGTTTTCGGGCCTAAACAATGGCCGTGGTTTACTCAGAAATGCTGCTGCACGCAGTGGAGGTAAGAATCTTGCTGATATCAACTTCATTAGTACTCGAATGTGTTTCATTTTCAACGTGGCGACCTTTTACACAAAATGTTCACATGCGGGCTCTGGGGTGTATGTACAACATGACAGTTTCCGTTGTGAATTATTCAACAATAAGTAGGAGTAGAAATATACGACCTGTATACATATAAGTTCCTCTTATGTTTACTTCACTGAAGCATTGAGGGGACTCGGCTAGATATGCTTCCGAACGAATATCAAAATCAGCAGATGAGTGCCCAAAAAATGCACAGTAGGCTCAAGCATACAGAAACAGCTGTTTATTGTTTGTTGTACGAAAGCGCCACATGTGAGGCCACCATACAGGGCCGTCAAAGCTGTTTCCACTAGCATACGCAAGCGTGTTAGCCTAAGCTATAGTTGTTACGTTATTTTTAAGATATAATTGAACACAGGTCGAAGTCGGGACGATAGGCACGGCGCTTGCTAACAACCACCGTCTACTGCAATTTAACTGCCACATGCTGAAAGTAGTATCTGCGCCGGCAAGATTACCAAACCAAGGAAGACAAAAAAAGAGGAAACGCCAACAAAAGAGGAGTAACGTGCACCTGTGTTGAGGGAAAAGTTTTACATTCCCCGGCACGGTGATCCCTTCGTTATACCCTTGTTACGCAGGCAAGCTCACTGCAATTGCGACTAACCATGGTTAACCACGTTGAAGCGTGGTTAGCGTCACTCACAGTTCACCGATGTTACACAGCACAACAGCATCCTCGTTGAGGCGACTAGCCCGTCCTCCATAGACGCCGCTGTTTCCTCGGTTAACCGCTTAGCTGAGCTTTCCAACCTCTCTTTACCACAACCGCGTTTAGCGGCGTAAGCGCGGTTTCGTGTACCGTGCAACATAAGCAAAACTCGGTTACGCGTAACCACAGTTACGCTGACCGACGTTTAGGCTGCTTGCGTAACAAGGGTATTAGCGTGCCTTCTTTTTGTATCTAATATTCAAAGCTAGCAAAATTTTCCATCCGAATTGTGACATCTTGTTGATACTTCGCTTGCGCTGACTTAAAAAAAAAGCTTGTTCTTCGTTTCTATCGTCTACCAGACACTGCTTCTAGTATCTGCTCGTTGAATTGTAACGAGCAGTGGTTGGTCAGTGCCATGTTGGCGCATTCCTGTGGTCGCGCTTCGCGCGCTTTTCGATTTCGCTCTATTGAGTGGGTCGACCTCGACGCTCGCTTCTTCGGTGTGAGATGCAAGGACGCGCGTTCTGCGCGCAGGAACCGGCGTGCGCTCCATCACGTCGGATTTGGCCGAGATGGACGACGAGGAGAACATCCCGAAGCCCGTCATCCGCGAAGTGCGCAAGGTGAACGACACCACCCTGTGCGTCACATTCTCCGACGACACCAAGTGCCAATTCAACAGTGTCTGGGTGAGTGACGCGCCAGGTGATTCGGTTTCTGACGTTTGTCCTTTAAGAACGGGACGCTTTAGGAAGCCAAGCTGTCGTATGCTGTCGCCCTCACTTGGTGTACCGCTCCACGTGTAGCATGTCCAGTGTTCTGACGCCAAAAGGAACCTTTTTTTTACTCTTGTTCTTTGAGCGCTTTAATGACAATAAGTGAGCGTGCACTCGCTCTTAGAAGTCTTCTTCCCCTTGTCCTTCGACGAGTGTGCTTAGCCTAATGCAGTTACAACCGCGAATCAAAATATGAAAAAGATGGAAGCAAGCTCGAAATAAAAAAAAGTGATGAAGAGAAAATAGGCAGAAATCAGAAAGAACGAGAAAGAGATACACTGTAAACCAGTTTTCACCCGTAAGGGCGTTTTGCGTGTGTATAACTAACACCCTACAATAAGGGTGTTAGTCATAGATACGCAAAGCATCCTTAAGGGTGCATGTGTATAGATAAAAAGAGAGAAATAAATTAAGAAAGATATTGAGGAACGACAAATATTTGTAAAATGGAGGAAGAGAAAAAGAAGCAAAGAGAGAAGGAAAAGAAATATAAAAAAAAGCGAAGGGAAACAAAGTATACCGCCCAGATCTGCACTTCTTTCAAGCTCAGCGCTCCTGTAGAGAAGCTGTCTTAATTTTTAGATCAGTATTAACGTCCTTATATGCGTTTCACAAATGGTGATACTATCCGGAGTTTTACGAGTCAGAACATAGATAGTGTGAACAGGCAAGCCGAAGTGATGGGCTCTAGAAATTATCATTTATGGCGAACACTAAGTGCATTAAGCCCTAAACTTGTTTCTCGCACAAGGGAAATCTGTTTGTTGAAAGTGCTGACGTAGTTGTTCACAACCTTGCTTTAAGGTGTAAAGAGATTGTGCGCGACAAAGTGACAGATATCTCAACAATCGTTTCAAGGAACACTGATACAACGTAAAAGACAAGTGTGGTGGGATCGTCGACGTGCCATCTTGATAGCAATCACATCACCTGCGACCACATCACCTGTGACTCGCATCACCTGCGGCTGTTAACTCGTGTACTAAGGCAGCTGCTTGGGCTTGTTGGTTTGGCATAATTCTGAGTGAAAGCATGCAAGACGAGGAAAGATGAGTGACACACACAAGGATCGACTTGCAACGGCATTTTATTAGGAGGACAAGCAACCCCATATATTGATAAAAAACGGTGTCGACTCGTGTGTTTATCCAGCAGAAATTATTGATAAGCCCGTAAACAACACCGTTCTAAAACTAGCAGTTGCCCTTTCCAGCAAAGAGTTATCCTATCTTTTTAAAGATATATACAAGTCCTGCAAACAGCACTTGTATGATGCTCTATACAAAAGACTTCTCTGTGTATTGGTGTTTCTGGCTCGCAGAAACGATTGCGATAAGTTAGCGCTTCTGCGTATCTCGTAATCATCGTCCTCGTTTTTCTCTGTGCTATTAGGTTCGTGATGTATTTTTCTCGCCCGTATTTGGGTGAATGATGCCAAAATGTGACTCGGTTGCTTAAATACACCCTACCAACATTTTTGCGAACAACCACGTATCTTCACCGTAATGGTTTTTAACTTTTTTCTCTACTGCCGTGGTTCGTGATGCGTGTGAGAAAAAGAAGTCACACATTTATAGAATTATAAAAAAATATGCCACACTGATGAAGTAGGGCAGCGCTTTTTTTATGTTGTTGCAGCTAGTTTTGACGTGTGTGTTTTTCTAACAATGATCGAGTCCTCAAGCGGTAAAACAGTTGAACATCGTGCCTTATTGCATGAACAGTGTTGAAATACGCTGCTAATAACAATATAGGCTTCTATGTAGGTAGTTATCGCGTAATAGTTTGGTTCCAATACTCATTTTGTATTGCAGCTGCGCGACAGCTGTACATGCTCCGCGTGTGTACACCCCGCAACGCGGCAGAAGCTGGTTAACAGCGTCAAGATTAACCCCAACATCCAGCCACTCTCGTGGTCGGTCGAGGACGGAGAAAAGCTCGAGATCTGCTGGCCGCAACAGCCTTCGTCACCGCCTCACTCTAGCACCTACTCCTGCGATTGGTGAGCCAAATCAAGCATCCATCTCGAAATAACTGTGATAGGAGAAAGGTTAACGCAGCGTTCACATTTGGAGCAAACAAAAAGGCAGCAGCAGTTAAATTATTGAAACCATGACAGATAGTTTTCGCTCATTATCTGTGTTATGCAGGTTATCTCTTGAAAATTCGCAGACAGGCTGGCTAATCTTCAGCGCATTTGGCCAAGCACTGAAGCCGTATTGAATATTTTTATGAACGCGACAGTGGCTTGAGAATCAGACAACACAGACACACTCGTGAGCCATGACATATACAAGCCGCTTGCCTTGCGATGGTTTGTATTCCCGCCAACGATATTGTATCGTGGTCAGCTGCGCGTACAATGGAGCAAATACAGCTTTCTTCAGCTTTACATTGAAAATTGAACGACTTGCATGAAGCAGCTGATAGGAACAAGACGATGTCTGCAGTGCAGCACGTGACGCCACTCACGCCTTGGCGAAATGACGCCACATGACGTCGCTTATGTTGTGGCAGTGGGCGAGATTTATAATTGGTGATTTGTAGGGCTCATTTAGCAATATCATATGCTTTAACTGTTCACGTTTCATGTATGTACAGTCACAATATGCCCTCTACTTTTATATTTCGCATAAAACCACAATTCAGTGGGGCGACCATGTGGTGGCCATTATTTAAGCTGGGTCTTGCTGATAACGCAGATCATGTTCATTCAAAATAGAAGCAGGATTATCAATTATCATATCAGTATATCCCCATTATCCCCGAGTAAACCGTATTTTGCTTTTCGTTTTGTCGCGGTGCTGAAGGCTCTACCAGTTCGGCAAATTGTTCGAGAACAAGGACGGTGAACCGGCTGAGGTGTCGGACATGTTCTACACCAACACCAAGTCGTCGACAATCTTATGGAACCGCGACGAATTCGACGAAAATCCTCCGGAGCTGGACTACAAGACCTTCATGGAAGAACGCTCTGGCCTCAAGCAAATGGTGAAGAACCTCGTCAAGTACGGCATCTCCGTGCTGCACGGTAGGTAGCCCATTTTAGATTCCCTGTTGTTTTTATTCATATTCAGTGTTACAATGTGTCATTATAGTTAGTGTCAAGTTTACGTTGTCGGATAACTATCAAACTAGTGCAGCATTTACCATGATATTCACATTATATTCAGTTTTCTGTATAAGCTCTCTTGCAAATTAAAAAAAAAAGGCTCTATTTGAGAGTTCACACTGGGAAGCATTGGTTCGTACCTTGACAGCTTGGTGGTACGGGACACAAGTTCTCGAGCGTTTCACGTTACGTTGTAGAGATTGACACACGTGTGGCCTCATTATCAATAACAGTACTAGTCGAGTCACGGTGCCTACTGTAGGCGTGCAAGTACAGGAAACACATAATCCGGTATCGGTTGTATAGACTGAGTGTACGGGGATTTGAGCTTGCCAATGAACACGTGAAGGGAGTGTTCCACATACTTATGTGGTCAGACTCCTCTGTAGTTCATGGGGTAGGTGTGCAGTTTCTTCACATCTCTTCCTTTCATGATGCAGGCGTTCCTCCCCACGAAGATGAGCTGGAGAAAGTTGCCTCCCGTATGGGCTACATTCGTGAGACGGGCATGGGACGCGTGTTCGACGCCACCTGTCAGCCGGATGCGCACAGGGGTTCTCGGTTCCATCAGCACACCGAACTGCCCGACAGGGAGAGCGCCCCGGGTGAGATGTCTTCGTTGGTCGCTCTCATTGCGAGCGTGCTTTCTAATGGGCCATAGAATTTTCACCGCCTTATGCGAGAAGTCTATGGTGTTTTCATGTTAAGTAAAATGCCCCAGCTGACTCATGGAACTCGGAAAGCGACCGTTGGTGTCAATATGATAGACTGAAAGAAAAAAAACCAAAGCTAGAAAGCAACAGCGTCGTTTGGTAGCACCTTGCGTCACGCGAGATATGCGAGACGCCCAACGTCCAATAAAGCACTACAAAGTGAGACAAGAAGTAATTGAGAGTAATTAAGAAGGGCTTCTATGTAACTCGAGGTAATTCAAAGCAATTAAGTTTATATGAACGTAACCGAAGATAAATGAATATGACCAAGCAATAGTGCAGAGGCTAAAATAGTGCAGTAAAGTATGCAGTTGGCTAGTTGGCAAACCTAACATACCAGTGAGAAATAGACAAAGACGCCCGTAAAAAAGGAGACAAAGCGTCCTATATTGAGGTTTTTATGTATGACATGACTTGCCAAAAACTTTATTGAAGTGCCGGAAACCTTATGCTCGGGGCAACCCGGGACGACTCGATGTATTCACTTATGATGGGACTAGTACACCTGGCTGCAGCCGACTGCTGAGTGGCCTGGAGTTGTTCGCCCTGTGCAGTTGAGGGTGGGCTTCCCAGTGTCTTCGGTTTGAACTGAAGAGGTCACGGAGGCTGTCAACAGTGTTGAATTTCAACACGCGTGGCCGCAATGATGGTATTCATTCAGGTTTGCCTGATTTATTGAGTGCATTAGCAAGGAGTATAGATATCGTTTTCGTGTTGAAATCGTAACTCATATAGAGCAAACGTAATGGCTTTCAAAATGTCGCCTTCTCATGCGATGAGAGACCCTTATGAGCCCATAAGCTTGGTTGCCTTGAATGTGCGCCACCAAGCTCTAATTTACGGGAACATTTCGTTATAGCCGCGCCTTTCGCGCTCTGTTTCCTTGTCTTTGCTAATGCTACGGCTATAAAAATTGGAGGCCGTTACGTATTCAGCGACTGTACGAAACTGTACCATACGTTCGATTTCACGGTGCCGGTTAACTGCTTTGCGAGCGCAGTTAACCATTCACTCGCGTTTACAAGCTATACGCACCATCTTGCTGCCCCTGTCATTGTTTCTGCTGATGCGCTTTATTTGCGCAATGATTTAGTCATTCGAAAATAGTGGAAGCTCCATTACCGATGAAGTACAGAGCGCAATGTGACACCGCTTTTAATTTTTGGATTAGATTTCCTTTGTTTCTTACTTTATCTGCAAGACGACTTCAAAATATTCAGAAAATTAGCCAGCGCATCTTCGCATAAGTACAGGATTCGAATGTTAGGACGCTGTGAAAGGGCGCAACGGAATTCGGCGTTGACTGAGTGTTCCAGCGGCCGTCGATGCAGTTTGTTGCCCCGCCAATCAGACAAGCTGTCAGAGCAGTTATGACCTGCTTAATTTTATACTAACTGCTGCTGCCGCATTTTGCTTTCGTTTTAATAGATCCACGGTTTTTCTTATGATCGGAACGGGTGCTCAATGTATTTTGTGATGTTGTACGGTTCTGTGCTTTGTAAAACGATAGAACTTTCTCAGTGACTTTTTGAAATAATCTACTTCACGCCAGAGTTCAACTTCACATGCAGTGCTAGACTGAACGCATACAGACCGTTTTCCTGAGGACGCTGCCATTTTGCGAACGCAGCACCAACTCTCATTTGGCACACTTCGCTGAAGTATGTGTGATTATGCATTAGGCTCTTCACCGTACGCGCACTTGGGGAGAAAGTTCAAACTTTAGCGTTTTTCTGGGGTAGAACAGCAATTTTTTTCGAAACTGGGAAATTATACGCAAATTCTAAGCGGCTACAAATTCAAACAGCAATGAGTTACTACTTCAACATAAAAAAAAAGAGTGAGATGGGTGTGCACTCAGTTGATATGCAACACATGGGCAACGTGTCCTGTATTGCAGACTTCGGTGAGTCATTGCAAGGCTCGGTAGCGGTGACAGGGGCCGCGTAAGTTTAGTGTCAGCGTACGCAGAAGCGGGGAGGCTGCACATTACCATCTGGTGATATGATAGAAAAGCCGTGGGAAAGAGGCGGTTCCACCTACGTTCTCGCGCGGTCGACATGTACCCGGCATCCCGCAGGTGATCGAATAACCGATCCTCTTACAGTCAAAGCTGCGAGCAATAATCGCAGGTGGGAGTCATACGATGCGCAGCTTCCATGCGTGCGCAAGACGCCCCCTCTGCCTCTCCGACACTGTACCATGGGAGCCGTCATAGTCTAACCTGACTCTCGTGTTGATTCGAGAAGACTAGGAAACTGCATCGTCATTTTTTTTTTTGGCACGTTCGTAATCGGAACTCGAAAACACATTCTACAACATGGCAGAGCATTACTCCACATGCATGGTTCGACTGAATGAATACAGGCCATTTGCCCGAGGAGGCTGATATTTTTCGACCGCAGCGCCATTCCCATTTGACAGATTTGGCTGGTGTGTGCAATTCCAAATTAGACAGGCTGTTCAGCGTACGTGCTGTTCGTGACAAACTTTAAATTTTAGTGTGTGGGACCCAATGGTACAAAAGTGCTCGGCACAACGCTAGCCCGAGGTCGCTGGCCAACCTAGCCGACATTAGGCATAAGGTGAGTTGCCGAGGTCTGCTCACGTATGGGTATTGACAGTGACCTCACTCTGGCCAATGCTATGGCCACCGACGTAGGGCCGACCTTATTGGCCGACCTGGCCGAGTGCCAGCCTCTGTAGGGCCACGTTCGGCCCGGTGAAAATTGGCACGTGGCCAGCTGGTGGCCCCTATGGCGTACTTGGGGAGGCGGAAGGGGGGGGGGGCTTTAACTTTTTTATTTTTTTAATTCGTACGTGTACTGTAAGGTATACATCTGCATGCACACGCACAAACATACATAATATGTTTGCAACCCACCGCCCCCCCCCCCCCCAAAAAAAAAAAGAAATTCAGCTCACACCAGTAGTTTATAGATACTATAAACTAGGAGAATCAATGAAGCTCTCGCCACAGGTATATGGAACTAAAACTTTTTATTTACAGAAATTCTTCGCACGAACAGTTATGGCTAATTGTGGATGCTCTTTTCGTGATGCCTGTGCGAACGGCTGCCTTCCTTGTCCTAGGTTTCCGCCAACCATTTCTTTGGCATTGCGGACTTCCTTTATTGATGCACCGACATGATTTACCACGAGACAGTCTGCAAATACAAGAAAATCAATAAAAACAAAAAACCATCCTAATGAGATCAGTCATCAAGGCTTTGAAGCACCACTTTAAGATTTCTTAAGAAAGAAGTTGACTTGCTTCCAAGCTAATGGGTATGACCAGAGATGAATGGTAGTTTAAGAGGCTCGTTTCTTTGCTGAAACCAATTAAACAAACAGACAATTCAACCCAGCAAAACATAGGTGAAACTGCTTACTTTTTTAAAACAGAAGTGTAAATAATATGACCAATGCTGAAAGGAGCTAAACTGGTCGGAAAAATGAGCGCTTTCCGTCAGTATGCTATACAAGCTATAAGCAACGGAACTCTCAATTCAGTGACACTGCCCAGCAATATTTTCAACCTAAAAATAGTAGAAGCGGCTTTATAGCAATCAAAAAGTCAAAGTCATCACTCATTCAAGGGTAGTGTTTAAATTTAGCTTTGTGTGCAGTGGTACAAGTTTCGCAAGCCATGTCATGCTATTGCTATGGCTTGAATAGTGTAGCAATGTGCTCAGATACTGTTACAGAAATACGCTGCTTGTCTTTAGAGCCCCCCCCCCCTTCCTCGCCCACGAGGTTGGTGCCAGGTGTTGGTAATCAAACTGCAGTTCAATCACATGCGGTTCTACATTCAGTCAGAGCATTAAACTGCCAAGCTTTCACCTCTCATTAACAGCAAAAATAACAAAAACATGGCTGGAATATTCTACCCTTTCTTGTTAACAAAGATTTTGCTACATTCTATTCTTTAGGCCTTATACCTCTAAGCCTCACATGATCGCTGCACGGGAGTGCATATAAGGGCAGGCGGGTCAGCTTAGGGGGTCACGGATGTATAACAACGTTAAAAGGACATGACATTGTGCTTTCTATGTCGTCTTAACGTTCATTTTACGAAGAATTGGGGCATATATACTCACCAAACTTGGAACCACAACGTTGACACGTTGTCTCCAGTAAAATCAGCCCTCCAAGTGGTTGCAGCCGCAACTACTATTCAACAGATGCGTATCTTCATCTAGGCCATAGTAGCGTATTTTAAAAATGCGAGACAATTAAATTTATGGTTGTGGAAAAATTACGTTACCTTTCTTAGTACACTTCCTTGAAATTTATGTCTAAGAATTAATTTTTAGCTAGAATCTTGCATCTTATACAGCCTTCATGTGTCACATACACTGCAAGTATGCCGAAGTTAAAGTAATGTCACAGCCAATATTTCAAAAGAAATTGAAAACGCAATACAGACGTGTGTTTCTGCTTATACGACGGGCAAATTTACAAGCGTGATCACCCGCGCTTGCATTTGTCACTGATTTAAAAAAGAGGTTGGCCCAAAGTAAACCTGCAACGTCGGACCAAGCACACTGGCCGGCCTACAGCCGACCTGGCCAAATGACGTTGGCTGATGGTAAATCTACGATGATGGTCCAAGCACGATGGCCGGCATACTGCCGACCTGGCCAAGTGGCATTGGCTAATGGTAAATTTACGATGTCAGGTCGAGCACGCTGGCCGACCTACTGCCGATCTGGCCAAATGGCGTTGGATGATGGTAAATCTACGATGACGGTCCAAGCACGATGGCCGGCATACTGCCGGCCTGGCCAAGTGGCGTTGGCAAATGGTAAATTTACGTCAGGTCAAGCACGCTGGCCGACCTACTGCCGATCTGGCCAAATGGCGTTGGCTGATGGTAAATATACGATGATGGTCCAAGCGCGATGGCCGGCATACTGCCGACCTGGCCAAGCGGCGTTGGCAAATGGTAAATTTACGACGTCAGGTCAAGCACGCTGGCCGACCTACTGCCGATCTGGCCAAATGGCGTTGGCTGATGGTAATAAATATACGATGACGGCCCAAGCACAATAGCTGGCATACTGCCGACCTGGCCAAGCGGCGTTGGCAAATGGTAAATTTACGACGTCAGGTCAAGCACGCTGGCCGACCTACTGCCGATCTGGCCAAATGGCGTTGGCTGATGGTAAATATACGATGACGGTTTAAGCACGATGACCGGCATACTACCTGGCCAAGTGGTGTTGGCAAAGGGTAAATTTACGACGTCGGCCCAACCACGCTGGCTGACGTGCTGCCGACCTGGTCAACGGCCAGTCACGGACCGACCACTTTTTTCGGTTGTCTCGCCGACTAAACTGACCACCGACTGGTTGCCGACCCTTATTCAACCGTCAGCCACTGGCCATGTCTCCTTGGGGAATGCTCCATAATTTGACCTCTTCCATTAGAGAGATAGCCTTTCTGGTTGTTTGGTGAGGGGACTGGAGGTGCCACAGTTAATAGATAGATAGTTTTTTCCTCGAAATAAAATTGTTGAAGTCATCGCATTGTGCTATCGTCTCCTTTACGTCATCGTATACAAGCGCTGAATATGTTTTGGAATACTAACAAACAGGCTATCTTTAATTTGCACTAGCGCTTTCTTAGTTACACTGGCTATCGTCAAGTGTAACCCGCTTTAATTTCTTGCAATGCATGTCAGCCGTAGCAACTTGCAACTGCGATGTCACCGTGGTTGGAGATGCGATTCGCATTGCTTAGGTTGCGTCCTTTGCATTTGAAAGCTATATATGCTCCTAAAGACGGAGCAATCGCAGTTCGTTGAGCTTGACGCATCCGCACTAACGGCCAGCACTCGTGAAATGTGCTATAATTACTCTAATTCGCAAGGCACCGTTGCCGCTTCTTCACAAAGCCAGCGCTGTCATGCATGGCCACCCGTACACACTATTGCGAGGAAGACGGTGGCACGGAGGCTACGTCATCCCCTCTCGCCTTCGTTCTAAAAAGAAGGAAACAGTCTACATAGTTTCTTGTGTGGGAAAACCCACAAGCGTAGTGTACTCGCAGCACTGAATGAATAATTGTTGTGGCTTAGAATTCCGAGGCCATGATATGACTGTTAGGGACACTGTAGTTGAGGGCTCCAGAAACTTTGACCCACAGCTGTTCTTTTATGTACAACTAAATTTAAATATACCACCCTCTAGCATTTCAGCGATATCAAAATGTGGTCGACCCAGCCGGTATTTTATCGTCTGTGTAGTTTTGAGTGTAGAGAAATCCATAACCATCATGTACACCCACAGCAATACAATAACATCCACATGTGATCATCTAAACAGCTGTAGTAATCTTAGCAGCACAGAACCGCCACAATTAGGCTTTTTGGATATCTAGCTATACGCTGTGGAATTCCGCCTGTCCAATATATGGGACCTATATAGCAGTTTTTCCCGAGGCATAGCCTCCGTGCTTCCGGAGTAATTCTGGCGAACGCTGCGGTTTTGTAGTTGGCGCAGCGCAAGCTGCTGCTGCCGAGAACGCTTGCGACGTTGTATGGAGCTCAAGGGTCTGCAGAGATGGTGGCGCTGTTGACGACGAAGCGTTGACTTCAGGTGAATACGGGGCACGTGTCGCACGCACCACACCTGGTCACACCTGGGCACGGCAGCACCCAGGTACCCGCAGAGCATGTAGCACGAGCACCATTAAGCCAACAGGAATCAAAAAAGAAAGGGGTTTCCCGGAAGTACCTGTTAAAGAAAATTATGCCGGGTTTCACAGTATGTGTATCTATCTCTCTACGCCACAATCTTGCACGAGCAGCCGCAGAGCGCAGAAAGCCACACGAGGCCTCGTGCACTTCTTGAAGGCCTCTGCACTGTATGTATTGTGAAATGCTTGTGCTGATGGTTTTCCTCTCTCTTTATCTTTACAACCTGATTCATCTCCCTACGTGTAGAAGGCAATGAGCAGGGCATATAATCTAGTTACCCTTTCTACCTATAGCCTATAGCGTAGCATACCATTTATGCAAATTTAGTTAAAATCCTTTCCTCTCACTCGTTTTCCGTCCTACATGACTTATATTCCATATCTTTCACTTGCACGAGAAACACCTGCACCCAGAGATATGTTGAAAAAATAATTAGGCGTTTGACGCTTTGATTTCTCAATGAGATGCGACATAACTAATACGCATATGGCTAGGTACGTTCGACCAGAAGTGGTTTGAAGTGATACTAAAGTGAGAAAATAAGTCAGTGTAGACTCACAAGTTAATCGTCGTCGAAGCTTCATTATAAATGAGCAAACGAGACTAAGTTTCATTCCTGAAGTTTGCGCGTGCATTTCAGCATCGCTTCTCAGGCCGCTTTTGATGTTTTGTTTTACAAACAGGTGCAATATGGTTCTCCCGAAATTGCAATTTTAGGCGTCACGATCCTTCAGAAATCAGTACAATAGATTTTTACGGGTAAACTAGCTTTTACGGGTAAGCTATCTAGAGCCAAGAAAACGCTGTAAATATCTCTGACGTCACGACGAGTTGGCGCGGGCACCTCGAAGCGGCGGGTTTTTCTCTTTGCGTGTTTTCTCACTGCAGTAACAGTGCTTCTGGCGTTGCGAAAAGCCTAACTCACTGATTTCTTTCTGTTTCCTTAGGACAGGTCAACTTTTGGGCGAGTTGCTTTCGGACGCATTCTGAAAAAAGTTGTTGCGAAAATTAAATTACGCTCACAATTACTCGGCATTTTTTTACTTAGCCCCATTTTAGCCATTATCAAATATTAAAAGAAACAAAGTGAACAGCCTACGTAGTACACTCTAGCTCGAAAGGAAAAAAATATTTGTATGGGAAAGCTTTAATGTTCGTATACATCTAAAATGTACGTCTTCATTCACTCTATACATCAAAATAAGGATCATTACCATCTTTCTTTTAAACAATTTAACGAATATGCCAGTCCTTCAACTTCTCCTGTGATCCGTTTTATTTTTAATTTAGACACACTTGATAGCATGTAAGGTTCGGCAGTGATGTAGGCGAAGTGCATTAGGTATAAGAAAGTCATGACTGAGTTACCAAATGCCGGTTTCGTTTCACACAGGCGTCAAGCTGCTTCTGTGCCTTTCGTCAGAAGTCCCCAAGCAGACACTCAGTGGGACGCCCAGCAAAGGCAAGACCTTCTTCGTCGACGGCTTCTACATCGCCCAATGGATGAAGTACAACCACCCGGAGTACTTCAGGTTGCTCGTGTCCACGCCGGTCACCTTTTCGTACTACGACTCTAGGAGAGGGGTAAGTAGGGCAACATATGATGCACCGGGTAATTATTAGAGGCACGAGCAAGGAGTGACGCGCTTGTTTCTTCTGCGAACACTTCCGGTCAAGCGCTAACTTCTGATTTTTTGGGATTAAAGAAAAAATAAAGCTCGTACAAACTCGATAGTCCGAGTTCAAGTTAAGAGTTTTGCAGGACATAATATGGCAGCATAAGTTTGATTGAGTTCACGGCCAAGTTACCGTCAGGGTAATTATTGGAAAATAGTTGAACAAGTTCATTAAAACGTGAAATGGTCTTGGTACAAGCAGATGCGATCGCGGCGGCACCTGGCAGAGCAAATCCTGACCACATGTTTCATTCTGTGTGGTCTCGAAGATTCGCGTCGGTTGTCGCAGTGCGGTCAAACGCAAAGTTAACCCGAGGAATACTCGAGATAGCACGAACACTGAGTGCCCCGTGCGACTGCCGTACACCTCATTCAAAAAGTTAGAATCAACTCAATTTTTAAAGACGATAGCCTTTCTTGGGGACCTTCGACACAAAAATTTTTATCTGTCTGTCTGTCTGTCTGCCTGTCTGTGTCTGTCTGTGTCTGTCTGTGTCTGTCTGTGTCTGTCTGTCTGTGTCTGTCCGTCTGTGTCTGTCCGTCCATTTGTGTCTGTCCGTCCGTCTGTCTGTCTGTCTGTCTGTCTGTCTGTCTGTCTGTCTGTCTGTCTGTCTGTCTGTCCGTCCGTCCGTCCGTCCGTCCGTCCGTCCGTCCGTCCTTAACGGTGCCCTAAACGACACCAAAGTGGCCAAACGATACTCCAAATGGCCGACCCCATCCGCAGCACCCACCGATATTGCTCAAGATTCAGCGTTCATACTTGTGCGATTGTCAATTAAAAAGCAATTGTTGCACATATCTGAAGCAACATAACAACACATCAATATTCTGTATGTGTGTCTTTTATTAAAAAAGGCGTCGTTGGTTTTGAGCAATAAATTGGCTTCAGTCCTGAGCGACAATCCGAGACAGATGCAAATAACTATTACAAAAATATTTCCTCCTACTAAGAATGGAACTCCGACCTTCTTCGTGACCTGCAGGTGTTCTACCACAACACACGTGCTTCAAAGTGCTTCGTAAAATAGCGCCCTAAAATGGTTATGCAGTAGAACGTGCCATTCTAACGCATGTTGTATTGAGTGGCGGCACCGTGGAATCACACAAGGCGTCAGAAAGTATTAATTACGCAATGAGTGCACTGTTTAACGCTGCCCGCTCATAACAAAGTGCGCAGCTGTGTAGCTAGCTGCAAGTAGCATTTTACGCTAGCGTAGCGGTACTTCATCAATTTGCAAACTAAAGAATCATTACGTAGTGGCCACTTCACAGCTGTACTTGTAGCAGGCATTCCAGAATAGCTTGCAGCGACCAATGTTACGCGCACAAACGTTCCTTTCCTTGCAGAACGTTTCAAAGCGGTGATCAATGCATGATTGCGCGATGCATGGTCCTACTTCTTCAAGGTGAAACTCGAACGCCCTGCAAGTATTTATTGTAGGGTGCCTGCAAATAGATTAGTACCACACTGTGTTTATCGTCGTCACTAATGAGCTGTAATAAGATAGGACCATGGAGTCTAGTGATGTAGAACATTGTCATGTTAGCGTGTGTTCATAGAAGAGGGATTCTAAAGGCGATACAAGAAACGTATTTGTGGTGTTGGTGTTTTGCCTAAGCATCGCTTTTTTTAATATTGTCCTTATGAGCACATCAATCACGTGCTTAAAGTGTTGTCAGTGTGCACAAGCTATTCCAAGATGATGTCCCATTTGTAGTAACAGTGCCTGTCTGCAGAGATCATACTCGAAACCTGGTTGTCAAAAATGTGCCTGTTAAATAGCAGGCTACACATACAGCTGTGGGTTGCACAGGGATACATAGTTTATTGACACAGAAGCAGTAATAGAAGTGTTTTGACACACATTTTTAAGCAGCACATAATAACGCGATTCCTGTGAGGTGTAACATAGAGCCATTGGAACTACAGGAGTTGTTGTTTCCTTATATCTTTATAGAGTCTCTGTAAAACGCCCACTTTCTTCTTTCTTCCTAGGTGTGGCTTAGAGATACGTTTCCCATTATCAGGACAAACAATTACGGGAAGATAAAGAAGATTCACTACAGCACATTCTCTATGAGGCCCCCACTGCTGTCCTCTGGCGAAGCCACGAAGTTCTACGAGGCATACAGGTGAGCACCTTAGGGTATATATCCAGATATTTTTTTGTAGTTTTGTTGCTCTGACACATTGTTCGTCTCGGGGAAGCACATGGTAAACTACTGCTTTTTAACATGAATTTCACCAGTACTTCTATGTCCGGTTGCATTCAGATGTGAGCAGCTGAAGAACTATAACCATTTAAACTGATTTCATCAGTTTTACAGCCATGAACAGTTGGAGTAGTTCAATAAATCAATCTAACAAGAGGTCGAACAAGAGAAACCTCTCATGAGCATGTCAACAAGTGACTTGTCTTAGTGAAATGAAGTAAGAAGAACATGTGTTTTTTTCGAGCCGACATTTGAGCAGTCGCACTTTCTCAAGCGAAGCAGACTTGCACAAGATGGTTTCGTCGACCGTCGGTTCCAGAATAATTTTTTTTGTTCGGTCACACAGGGCCTTTACAAGTCTATTTATTTTTGTGTGCATACATCTAAGGTTGTCAGATGTCATATCACTTGCTTGCTTAAGGTTGTAACGTGTTGGTCGAAAAACGTCGTGAATAAATATTATCTAAGGATTTCTGTTTGTTTTAAGAACCTTACAATGTCAATCAGTGCAATGCTCTATCTCTTGTGTAATGTTCGTTATCCTCATGCCTGTACCATCGACAAATCCAATTCGCAGATTAGTTTCACATAGAACAAAAGTCAGATTTAGTCTAGAGTTCTACATATATAGTATACCATCTGGTCAGGCAAAGTTCAGTTTACGTGTCAGAGTTGTGAGCGTCAATTCAAAGCTGTATGTGTGCAAAACACGACTGCTGTGGTATATTCCGAAAACATATCATGGCCTACACAATTTCCTTGACCTTACATCACTTAAGTAGCATGAAGGTGCGAAAGTTCAGTACCTTGTTAGAGGGCTCGTTATTGCGACTCTTGTTTTCGTAATTGCTTCCTGGCACAATAGTAGAAACGATTAATCAGAAGGCACAAACACGGCCATATGGAAAGAATGTCTGCAGATTCACTGGGTTATATGCGGCTTTGTGCCAGAGACAAAAGGAACAGCTGGGAGCTTTTACGTGAAGTCATTACTGTTCCGCTTTTGCAGCTTTGCTGTTGCACGGGTGTAGGGACGCGACCAGCTTTGAAACTGGTACTTCAGTAGAGGCAAGACCATTCACGTTACAGCTGTGGAATAGATGTTGTTGCTTGCTGTCGCGACGTATGTAAGGAAGTCACTTGAACGAGGGCTGTGTTAAGAGCAAAAACTTTTCATATAACCGGATTTCACTCTACGCAAGAAACCAAGGTACTGAAACTAATAATGGTGAAGTCGTCGAAAAATACAACACAGCCTTTTAAAACGCCTCTTGCAAGGCGTTTGCAATAATTTTAAATGAAACGCACGTGATCGCAAAAAAAGTGAGATATCTATAGTCACGTGTAATCCCGGAAAGGAAAGGGATAACAATACTTGTGGCGTAAAAAAGGATTCCGCAAGGTGGCTACACGAGTTTGCAGGATAGTTGTACAAAGGTATATAATTTTGATAAAACTGATATAACTCAATTATGTAATTTCATGTATATAAATAGGATACATGCCGGATTGTGATATTGTTAAATTTTGACCACCAGAATTCTTTAACATTCACTTACATGAAAAGTAGTGCAGCGCCAGGTTGTGCTAGGCTGGGTCACAGCAGAGCTGGTGGGCACTCATCTTGACTTGATTAGGCTTTTACTCATTCACCTGTCTCTTTTCTACGCCTTGCTATACTAACCTATACATAGGTATGCTTTTTCCTTTTTCTCTTTGTTTTGAGTATGCAGCTTTTAATCAATTTATCTCTATGTTTATTTCTCTCTATTTTTATCGTTTCTTTCATCTTTCACATTCTTTCGATGTATTTTTTCTCTCTGTTCCTCGATGTAGTTGGCATCTCTCTCATCTTCTTCATCCCTTTTTTTTTCTATCTTTCTATATACTTCTCTATTTACTTTTTTGTGTTTTTCTGTTTACCTAACTGACATACCTTGACCATAACAGCTCTGTTGTAAAAGTACTTCGGTGTTTTCGCTTGTCGCCGCTATGTAAATGTGGCCATAGTGTCCGGATAGGGAACCTCTATCTTCAAACTAAGTAGCGCAGGTTCTCGACCACAACACTGCTATGACGTGTCAGTGTTGTGATTCTTGCGAAAATCAGTGCTCGCGACCACATACGTCAACAACATCAGCATGTGTTTTTAATTTCTTGCACCTATTAAAATAAGTAAAGAATATCGTGAAGCAGAGTAGTTAGCCAAGGGATACTGGGGAGGAGATTGAACATTGTTTGTGCGATGGAGCATTGTTGAACATGCTTCGCTTCTAACCTAAACCATACTACACGTGGCATAAACGTAGGTTACCCACTTCCGGTTGTATATCATTCAAATTTGATACTACTATTACTTTTTCTTTTACAATCAAATTCATGTTGCCTGTCCTGGCCCTCTCAGAGGTATGTCTTCTCTTTTCATAGCTCTTAAAAAACCGGCGCCAGAGCCAACTATGTTTTTTTTTCATGTTTAACTCACCATAGACACTAACCTGTCCAGCTCAGTAAATATTTTGCAGGAGGTGTCATTATCCGGCGCACACTCGTGAACCTGCCTTAGTGATCTGGTCATGGTGATCGAATGCTCACGTGAGGGTCACGGGATCGAATCCCAGCCATGACGGTCGTATTTCGATAGAGGCGAAAATACTTGATGCACATATACTTCGATTTAGGGGCACGTGAAAGGAACCCGAGGTAGTTGTGATTTTCAAAGCCCACCACTAGACCGTCCCTCATTATTGTATCGTAGTTCTGGGGCGTTAAATCCTTGCAATTATGTTATGATAAGGCACAGGCTGCGAATAAGGCAATTTCTACCAGGTGGCAAAATATCTCGCGTTATTCATGTAATAACAACGTAGATTGATTGTTGGAGTGAAGTTCGGCTGGCTTCAATCTTTTCACATACGTGGCACCACACGTTGGTGAAGCATGGCAACTTATATACATAAATTGTGTCATGTCCCACCTTCTCACCAGATTCAAAGTATTCCTTCTCTGAAAACGTCCGTATGATGTTCAAAATATTTTCTCAATTGTATGCACCAGGAACTTGTGCCTTCTGGCTATGCAGTGCAGTTTCCATTTTTTCAATGTTGTAATGAATACATTTACTTTTGTTGCCTAGTTACGCTAAAAACACGCTCACCACAAAGTAATGTCACTGATTTGCTCACGCACGAGAATGATTACCCGCAAAGAGGAACACAGGATACCGATACAAAAGAAGACAAGCGCTTGTCCTCGTTCGTCTCGTTGTTCTCCCTTGTGCTGTAATCACTTTCGAAATGGAATAGGAACAAGTGCCTATCCACTCTTTGTTCACTTATCTCCGAATCACTTGGTTCACATGCAGTACGTTCACCAAGCGCATGGAGGAAGAATCGTCCCAGTACGCTTTCCACTTGGCGGCCGGAGACCTGGTGGCCTTCAACAACAGGCGTATCCTCCATGGCATGAAGGAGCTGGGTCCGGACCACAAGGACGTGTGCGTTGCTACTGTCTTCGGTTCTTTTATGATTAGCAGCCGCTATGATAAAATTGTTTCTATTACGTGGCCTTTATGCCATGGTAGTAGTAGTAGCAATTACAGGAGTGGTATTCGTATTGGTACCTGTGGTGGTATGGGTGGTTGCATTAGTAGAGGAATAGTTGTAGTAGAGCGCCAATAGTAGTCGTAGTCGTTGCAGTAGTAATAGTAGTAGTAGTAGTAGTAGTAGTAGTAGTAGTAGTAGTAGTAGTAGTAGTAGTAGTAGTAGGCGGAGGAATATGAAAATTTATTAAATTTCACTCGTAAAGTGCATCGTCAGTCACCACTCGCATCAGACGGTGAAGCTATGGGAATATACTATTAAGCAAGGTAACAAGCAATCTTAGTCAGATGTTCGATATCAGGCATAACTTCGTGTTTAAGAATTCCTATAAGCGAATGTTTCTAAGAAATTGAGAAAGGCCTTAGAGAGTGCTCTGTAGATAAGCAGTGGCTTTTAGTACATGGACTTGTAACTATACGCGAGACTCCCAATAGTCCATGCAGACGACGCATCCTAGACCAAATGCAAGAAGGCTTTGAAACTCGGTTACAACAGACCATGCCACAACGGCTAGCGTATGTGTAGCGGCGCACCACTCCCAAGTCTATGCTTATTGTGTTGATGATTTCGTCATTATATCTAGAGGTGTTTGACAAAGGGGGGGGGGGGGGGAGGCAAGCTCGTCCTTTTTTCAATTAGTTTGAAAGAAATTGAAAAAACAAACAAAAACGATCGAAAAATTGATTTGATCAAAATGTCTGAGAACCCTAAAAATAAAAATAAAAACAATGAAGGTTTCCGAAGAATAACGGCTCGCAAATTTGGTGAGGACTAGTGGCAAAATCTATTTATTGAGAACAATAGAATACCTTTAAAAAACCTGAAAAAAAAATCAAGAATGCTAGAGGTAAAGACTTTCGGTTTGAGGTGAGATTCTGAGTGCGCGCTGGAAAATTGATTTCAGTGCAAGCCAATGCCCTGACGTTTAAAAAATGGAAATAAACGCGAAATAAAGATTTTCGAAGGCTTTACCTTTTTAGTTAAGGTTTTCAGAGCGAACTTATATTCAAGGGAGGGTTGTCTGCACCTATGTTTGGACTGAATATGTATTAATTATTGTGTAGAGCAACATTTCAAGTATGTTGTCAGCACAGTTGCAGTGGCCTAATCGGTACGATGTGGAAGTCGTAAACGGAAGAGTGGTGGCTCAAATCATGGGCCTGGCATCGTTAATGCCCTCCCTCCTCTCTAACTGGAAGTAAGAAGAAAACCAAGTCATACGGTGGTGTTCGTGCAGTGACTAACACTCCCAAGTACTGTTCTTCGTTCAATCATGAACTGGGGTTATGCACAGATATCATGGCGTCGTGTGCAGTGCGGGCAGTGGAGTGGGTATGATGGTCATTTCAAAACTAAGAGGTTCAAGGTTCGAGTTCCTGAGCTCGCTTTGCTGGACACGGAAAGGTATACCATGATTGTGCTACCGAGGTTCAAATGTTCATGGCGATGCAAAACTAGTAAAAGGCGAACCGACAAGCGTACAGGTATAGTGGGCATATTTTTTCATAAAGAGAAAGGATAGTTTCTTTTAAGTAAAGGTAAGGAACACATACGCCAGCGACATCTGATCGTGAGACCCGGGGGTTCCATGCTGCCAAGTTGCCACAAGGTGGGGCGCTATCTGTAACCCCCGGACACTGAAATTGCACAATAAACGCAGCCTTCACATTGGGTGGTAGTTTCTGAGCCCAAAATTGTAGTTAAACGCTTGGTTTTAATTTGTAAACTTGCGTAAGGGGGTCAGTTCACATGTTTATGTGGAAATTAAAAAAGAAGTATAGGGGGTTTTCGTTTTCAAGGACTTTCAAAAGAAAAAAAAGATTTTCAAATAAAAAATCAAGTTTTACATCGTTTGTGAGCTAAGGTGCTAGTGACGCGCACATTGTCTAGTTTATCAATTTTATTTTACTAAATTCTTACTGAACTCTCGTGTTTGCTTTTATCAGAATCTCTTATTGTACTCGCTGACATTGTCGGCGAACGTTGAATCTAAACGCATCTGCGGATTTAATAGAAAGCTTGTATACTTCCTCTGAGAATCCCCATCCTATATTTTTATGCAATTTATACGAAGGAAATATTGGCGCAAAAAAGGAAGACAAAAATTACACTTTTGAACCGCTCGGCTGGTCCGACACGGGTACTGGCTCGAGGAAACACGAGGTAGATGGATTGATTGATATGTGGGGTTTAACGTCCCAAAACCACCATATGATTATGAGAGACGCCGTAGTGGAGAGCTCCAGAAATTCAGACCACCTGGGGTTCTTTTAACATGCGCCCAAATCCTGAGCACACGGGCCTACAACATTTCCGCCTCTATCGGAAATTCAGCCGCCGCAGCCGAGATTCGATCCCGCGACCCGTGGGTCAGCAGCAAAGTACTTTATCCACTGGACCACCGCGGCGGGGCACGAGGCAAATGGAAATATTAGATGTCATTGTTGCTAAAGACAGACGCTCTTGATTGAATATTGGAGTAACGCATTGCACTTTGCCAAATTCACTTGATCTGAGACGTGCTATCACTGCACAAGAATAAAACTGAAGTGGGATGCCAACGCGCTTATGGTGGCAGCTGTGACGGCGTTTTTCTTAAAAAAAGTTAATTGAGAACGTGCTCTTGCAAGACCTCAAACGCTCTGGTAATTAATCCTTTGCTTGGAAATGGAAACATTGGTATTATCGAATGGATTTTGTGGACATGCCAATTGCGGACACCATTTATTGTAGATAAAAAAGACGTATAAGAGCCCACCAAACAACAATCACCGATTCAACATCTTGGCCACACAGACGAGGAGGATAGAGGGCGGCATGACAATGACAGGGGCGGTAAGGTTTCAACTTGTTTTCTTGCAAAGGCGTAGCATTGTATAGCGGAAGGGTTTCTTGAAGGACTAGTTTCCCTGAGTTGCGCTGTTCCGCTCAGTATTGTATAGCGAGTTATCGTAAGCGCAGCCACAGTTCTGCCCGCTCATTAGCCAAGCAGGGCAACTACTTATCAAATAATCACATTTATGTACAAAATGATTTATTACAGCTATGAATGACACAGTTGCCACTTTTTCAATCTTATGAAATTGGTTTCTAATAGCTCTCAAGCTGCTTACTTTTGGCTTCTGCCCATAATAATTGTCCCCTGAAACTGTGGTTCACACGCGCAGCCTTTACATTTGTCGCACCTGCCTGCTCACAGAAAAGACTGCGTTTTCAAACCACGGTTTCAGGCGCTAAACCTTGTCTTTTTTGTCTGGGCAAGATATCTAACATAAGGCATCAAGTAGGCGATACCCGATTTCTCCCGGAACGTTTAAGGAGCATGCCTCGGTGCAGATTTACATTCGCACAAATTACAAGCTTGCCGCCATGCGTGCACAAGAGCGGTGGCGTAATTTCTTCGCTGACACGGACTTCTCAGTAACCACGTTTCATCATTGCAACATCAGGTATACGGTATGGTGCAAAGTGACAGCACCGTGTGATGCAACAATGCTTGAAGTATGATGCGTAGCGATGGCACAACATCTTTTTTTTTCTCTATACTGGTGCTGCAGAAAGCACAGGAAAGCTTGAGAAATTACGCTTGTGAGAGGTCTGCTAAAGACAAAGGTCATCTTATTAGATCCCTTGATGACCATATTGTTTTCTGTAGACTACCAAGCTAGATTTTGCAATCTCACAAAGGTGATATTGCGTAGTTTTGTTGTACGCTCACGTGTTCGCCCCTTGAGACTTTTGTGTCTCTATGTTATTGAAGCACCAAAAAGCACAGTTAAAATTTTAAATTTTGAACAGTCTTCTTAAAATTGTGATAAATATAGCAACCGAAGAACAGATAGGAATTCAGTCTATAGAATGCGTGTTTAAATACGACAGTGTAGTTTCTATCATCAAGGCTCTTTGAAATGAAAGAATTTTATGATGGTGCTTGCATTTCAAATTTCTGTATTTTGCTGCTTTTGATCACTTTTAGGAAACATAACTCAGGCTGTCGCTAGGACATAGTTTACAGTGATTCAAGGTGCATGTTACTCTGTCCTTATATGTTTCAGGATCCTGAGGGGTTGTTACATGGACATGGACGAAATTGCTTCACTGTACGAGAAAATGCGAAGAGACGATGATCCCTGAGCCTAAGAAAAAATCTTTTCTTGACGCTGTTATCTGTACTTCAAGGCTGCACGCTCTGAATGGTCAAGAAGCTAGAGAAAACACGGTTCAGATTTTGTACATAGTACTTTATAATATTCCACCACAAAAACGTAACGTATGTCATTCGTTAATAAAATTAGGGCATACTGCATTGACTGTGTCACTGATTCAATGGGTGCTGCCGATCGCTACCAAGATTTCTACACGACCATTGTGACTGACTCACATGACTATTTCGACTGGATGCAAAGGCTATAGACTTACCTTATTGACCACAATTGCACTACAGATCGATATCACTCAAATGGAACATAATGATACAAAATCAGAAACTGCGAGATTTGCAAAGGCGACGAATTAGTTACCTTTTTGACCAGAATTATACTAGATATTAATATCACCTATATGAAACGACATGTTACAAAATTAATAGATGCGGGGTTTGTAAAGGCTATATAGGCTTACCTTTTTTTGACCAAAATTACACTACACATTGAGTATCACTCAAGTGGAACGAAATGTTAATAAATTGAAAATGCGACGTTCGCAAAGGCTATAGGCCACCAGTGCATACACTGATTGTCTTGGTCGTGGTTCACTGTTACAAATTCATGCTGGAATATGAGAACTGTACTTAATATTCAAAACAGTGAGCAAATGTCGGTGACGTACACTCTCCTGCTTATACTGCTGTGGAGATAATGTACCAGCTATAAAAATCCCTATTTTGTAAAGAAGAACTGCATGCAGTAACAGTAAAGATTTTAAGGTTCGTTCTGCACCATTTCTTGACCCCAACTGCACGCGTACGTTCGCGAAAGAGATGTGCAGAAGCATTATTTATTTGGAGGGAGACCGACCTGGCCGTCGCTAATTTGTGTACGTCATACTTGACCTTCGGCTTTAACTTGAACAGCGGTGTGATGGTAAATAAAGGTAAGAGTAGCCACTCCCCATAAATAAGATCAGTTAAGTTAACGACTGAAAATGAGTAAAACCACTCTATATTACGAAATAATGCGCATAAATTCTAATTGCAAAAATAAGTAATCATCGGAATGCTAGAAGGGTGCTGCTGCCTCAGCGTGCAGCTCGCGGAAGTTCGCGCGTACGAAATGCAAATGTTAGAGTAGGCACGCAACCCATGCAACGTTTACGTACGAAAGCGCATTGTCTTCAAAGAGCTGAGAATAGGCTGCTGTCATTGACACTCGTGTACCTCCCGACAAAAATCAGCAAAATTGCTAACAGCACACGCTCGTGCAAGAAACATACGTAGGTTTCGACAGTCGAACACAGCCTCGTCCGTGAATTTTGGCGAAAGTAACACCTGTGGTTCACGAGGAAGCACTAAAACGACGCACAAACACACGTTAATCGTTCTTGCAGAACGGCGCACCACTAACCCAAGTCGGAGCCGAAAGCGCTCACCGTGGTTGTCTGGAGTTCATGAAGCCCTACAAACTATTCGCTGATCAAATGCATGTATATGGCACAAAAACAGTTCAAAGTTCGGCCAACGGTTTGCAAAAAGCCACTTGGTAGATATATACTCCCGCAAAACTACTCGCCATCATGCGGTGGCGCCGTGGTGCGATGGGTAAGACATCTGCTTCACGTGTATGTGGTCCCGAGTTTAATTAAAGGGATGTGTGTGCTTTGCATGTCAATCTCACTGATGTAGATGATTATGGCACTGATGGTTTTCAAATTACCTGTAGCCAGAGTTATTATCGCATTATCGGCGAGAAACTGCTCTCAAAAGCGTACAGCAGAGCTTTTTTTTTTCCGCCACCACGTCAGGGTTGGGCTTCCTACGGAAATGTCACGCCTAACCGCAGGCCGTATCTTGCCAGGAAAAATTTGACCTAAAATCTCGGCTAATCCTTGTACCGGCTATTCTGAAGGCCACTTCGTATCGGGCCGGTTTCTCTGGGACACGGCTACGGAGCCACCTAGAAGCGGTGATAATTTGACTCAATTTCCTGCCTGCAGACGTGTAGTCTTGCCAAGATTTGACTACGAGTGTAGGCTTACCTTGTTGACCAGAAAACACTACAGATGAATATCACTCAAATAAAACGAAATGTTAAGAAAATGACAGGCTCAAAAAAACAGGCTCAAAAAGAGTGTGCCACACTCGCCGCCATGGCTACTGGTGGCGCTGACTGACACTCCCACGTTTAATTCACACATAAACCTTATAAAGTGGCTGGGGTATAGCTGACGTGGTAGCTCAGTGGTTGATCATCGAACGCGTCATTCGAACGTCGCAGGTTCGGATCCTGCCCACGGCACGTTATCTTTTCACCCACTTTTCTCCACATTTATATTACAATTTGGTCTAATATCTTCCCCTATACTTTCCTTGGCATTATTGTCTGTTAGATCTCATTAATATTGTGTGAAAACAGGAAAAAACGAGCCCTTAGGTATACACTTCTTGCCTTAATCATTAACGAGGGTCTCGTACTGGCAGATTTAGTGCCTTTAGGTTGTATACGAGGGACTATTGGTCAGCTGCCTACACGTAACAAGTTCACGTGCTACGTGACGTCAAACAGGCTCAAAAAGAGTGTGCCACACTCGCCGCCATGGCTATGGGTGGCGCTGACTGACACTCCCACGTTTAATTCACACATAAACATTATAAAGTGGCTGAAGGGATAGCTGTCGTGGTAGCTCAGTGGTAGATCATCGAACGCGTCATACGAACGTCGCAGGTTCGGATCCTGCCCACGGCAAGTTATCTTTTCACCCACTTTTCTCCACATTTAAATTACAATTTGGTCTAATATCTTCCCCTATACTTTCCTTGGCATTATTGTCTGTTAGATCTCATTAATATTGTGTGAAAACAGGAAAAAACAAGCCCTTAGGTATACACTTCTTGCCTTATTCATTAACGAGGGTCTCGTACTGGCAGACTTAGTGCCTTTAGGTTGTATACGAGGGACTATTGGTCAGCTGCCTACGCGTAACAAGTTCACGTGCTACATGACGTCAAACAGGCTCAAAAAGAGTGTTCCACACTCGCCGCTGTTGCGAAGGCAGGACCGAAATCCCGCCGCTGACCTCCACTGTTGCGAACGACGGACCGATCCCGCCGAAGCCACCACTGTTGCGAAAGACGGCGACGCCAACACGGCCCCGGAGGCGCCACTGCTTTCAACTCCGCCGGGAAGGTCACCAGCCGTTTGGTAGCGTATGTTTATCAGCTCGCGACTGCTTCTGCGCAGAGCTGATCAGACGAGCGGACGAGACGACGGTGAGTCAAACAAGGTTTATGTACAGCATATATACAGAGGCGTTACAATTTCGGTACTGGGGCCGACAGAGACTCGAAGAGCCGAGCTCTTCTCTCTAACACATAGTTCAGCCTTTCGCCTAAGACCGCTGATCGCGACACGCCGCAGGGCTTCTTTTATTTGCACCGGGTCCAACCAAAACGTCCAATCAGAAGCGCCGCTGGTCGTCAGAGCAGACTCCTCCAATGGGGTTCGCCGCGCGATGCGTCAGACCACCAGACATGAGGACGCCGGCTCGCTGTCACGTGCGCAACTGACTCAATGCACGTGGGCCAGAGATGCGCCGCGCGTGTTCACGCCGTGGAGTTGTTCGCGCCCGGCGGACTGCGGGCTGGCCTTGACCCAGATTGCCTGTTTCAGAGGCACGGACGTTTGACGAGGACTCGCTGGCATAACAGCACCCCCGCCGCCAGACAATGCACCGGAAAGACGAGCTGCTTCCACGGGGCTCGGATGTCAGGTGCGCTCGTTCGCCCGGTCCCTCCAGGTTCGCCTCCAGGGCCATGGGGAGAATACAGCTCCAGACTGTTCCGGGAACACATCCTATTTTGACGACGGATCCCAGCTCCACGGGCTTGTCGCCACAACTTGCTGGCCAACTTCGCTCGTCTCTTCCGACCATCTTCGGTTTCAGCACTTGTCGATGGTTCTGCAACTTGCTAAGAACGGTTCGACAACAGACAACACACGACACAAGCAAGTGCCCTCGGTCACCCAACAGAACACCAGACAAAGTATAGAACAACATATACCTATCTACGTGTCTATCGGAATTTCGTTCCCTCTACATCAAGAGGCACATGTGGGACAAAAGACTCCTAAAGTAAGAACTTGAATTTTTCACAATTACAACCCCGCAACGAATTAGAATACCACATAAAGTTGGCCCCTTGAGATCACTCTGGACGAGAGCGCTCAGCCCAGGTCGTGATGAGGTCAAAATTTTGCCCCGAATCGCCAGCGAGAAACCGAAAGGTTGAGAAGTTACTAGCTGGAACGCACTGCTCAATGCACCTGCATTAGCGTTTACCTTTCCCCTTTTTTTTTTCTTTAGCGAACGTCAAAGTTGCGCTGTGGAGCAACATGCTCCACCTCAGTAACCGGCCACTTTTAGGCGACGATACCTATGCGGCACCAAGAGCGGCTCACACTTGCGACGTTGCACAGGGGAACAACGATACGGCTTGCTACTGATTGACTCCTCACCGCTTAGCTCGATATCGTGTTCGATCACCCTCATGTTTCCGGGGCGGTCCGAAAACACGTCTTCAAACTCGGAACCAATCTTTCTCAGGTCCTCTTTCTCAGGTCCTCCTTCACTTAAGCTAGGCTCTAGGTTTATCTGCTCCCAAATTACTTTCGATCCCCCTTCGATCACCTCACTAGAACTCAAATTTTCTGCTCCCTCTTCCTCTGAAGCCTTCAACAGCTGATTTACGACCGCTTGATGTTGAACATTGGGTTTCATCAAGTTGTAAATTTTGTTCTGCCGCCTTCCTACTTGCACCTCATAAGTTGTATCGCAAGGCTTCGATAATACTGTGGCGGGCCCTTCCCAATCAACCTCAAGCTTGTTCCTTTTGGGTGGCTGCAGCCGCATTACCTGATTATCAACTTCAAAAGCGCGCTTCTTCCCCGATTTCTCGTAGTGCTCCTTCGACAGCACTTTTGCCGCGTTTTTCTGGCTTTCCACTAGCGCTTCAATCGAGAGATCCTCACTCTGCCCTCGAATGAGCGTCTCTCGATCAACTCTCGGCAGCTCGCTCCAACTTTCCGCTACAGGCGAGAGCGTTGCAACCCTCTCGCTCTGACTCAATGGCACCACGTCGTCTCCCCCAGCGCA